CACTTTCCCCCTTCCTTGTTGTGTCACCCCTAACCTCCTCATCCGGTCGGTGATTTCTTTCACACAGTTGTGTTACACATTCTAATTTTTTCTTAGATTTTGCATTGATTGTTCATATTTGCCTTGTGAGATCTGAAGAAGTTCGGTCTCTAGTTTCCGTTTGATCCTTTAAATTGGTGCTTCTCCAATAACTGTCTTCATTTAACCGGCGGCGACGCCCCACATATCGGCGGCCTGGATATTGGTGGATTGGGGACATAGTTTGGGGATGAAGAACTTGAAGAGTCTGTTACATTTTTTTCATTGTATTTCAATATATCTCACTGTATTTCATGTATTTTATTGTATGCACTATCTCGCGGTTAGGTTTTTGACGCGAAACATGAGTGATTGTTTAACGAGCGAAATGGATATCGCACTGGGCAAATGAGCTCCGAATTGAGTTTCGATTGAAGGGTTGTGTTCGTATTATTATTTGTGACTCATAGGAACAAGAATCGTCTAATTCCGCGTTCGTATGATAGAGTTAGAGCCATTTTAGTGAAAAATGGCTGTGCTGCAATTTAAATTGGCTGCTGGTGCATTTTTTTAGCAGCAGTGAACAGTAACCCGCGCGTGAACAGTGCCGCGCGGGTGAACAGTAATTGCGAAAAATCTTGGCAGCNATAATGGTCGGGCTTGCCTAGTAGTGTGATGGGCGCCATCACGACCGGGATTTGGGTCGTGACAGAATAGCCTTCTCCTAGATCCTTATCATCATCACTTTGATCATTTATTTCGTTTATGCTTATTTTTGGTGGATTATCTTGTACCTCTTCTAACTGTAATTTAAATTTTTCTATTTCATTTGTCAGTCTTAACTCTTGTTCTTCTTCTTTGCGTTTTTCTTTTTCTTTTTGTCTACTTGCATATAGCTGTTTTAGTATTTCTAATTTTTTTTCTAATTCTATTATTTTAGTGTTCTTTAAAACTCTCTATCTGTTGTATTTTTTCTCTTGCTTGCTGTTGATACATGGGAGAAAATATAAAAGAAATTTCAAGGTTAATTCCGCTAGCCGCAAAATATTATGAAAAAACCTTTAGCTTATAAAACTTATAATAAACTAAGGGTCCTCCCTATTGAGAAATATTGAAAATATTGAAAATGGTGATGATTTTGTTGAAGATTCACCTAAAATTCATCTGTGAAAAAACCCAAGGTCTCTCCTTCTTAATCAAAGCCAAAAAAGAAGAAACCCTCCAAAAAAGTACCAAAATTGGTTGAGAAAAAGATTTTGGTGAAGGTAAACATTAATTATTTTTCTTTCCAGTTTTTAGTGTGATTTTGGTTGTAAAAATCTGTGGTTCAAGTGTTTTTGGTAAATTGTAGAATTGTCTTAATTTTGTAGATTGGTTGTCTCAATTTTGTAGGTTAGATGTAATTGTGATTTTTAGACAGTTCATAAATGTAGTTATTTTGTAGTTGTTTTGTAGTCATATGGGTAAATTGTAGATAAGGGTGGGTTAAGGTCTATTTTTCACTTTTTATATGTTGCTACATTTACCTTCATACTAACCACAATTGTTCTACATTTTGTGAGTTATAAGGGTGATATAAGAATTTAATACCATCTTAATATTATGTTTGGTTAACAAACCAGGTATAAGTTATTCCGGTATTAATTTTAACACCGGGATAACTTATACCTTATAGATAGTGGGATAATTAGTACCGGTATAACTTATACCTTTTTCTTAGAAATTATGCAATTGTCATTCTTAATACAACATACCAAACAATGAATAAACAACAATCCCAGCATAACTAATCCCAGCATAACTAATCCAACATAACTTATACCGGCATAACTTACACCGGCATAATCCGTAATCCAGCCAAACGACCCCTAAGTGTTGCCACAGGTTCTTCGCATTGACACACTCGAGGAAGATGTGATTTATATTTTCATCCTCCTTTTCACAAAATAGACAAGTAGCATTAGGAATAATGTTGATATGTTTTAAGAAAACCCTTGTTGGTAGTCTATTATGACAAAGGAGCCAGATGAAACTCTTGATTTTTGGGTGGATTGGGAGCTTCCAAAGCTGAGTATAATAAGTAGCTTCCAAAACTCTTATATGCAATGAGCATTCATCCTCTAACTGATTATATATGAGAAATTTTACTTGAGACTCAACCAACAAATCTTGTATGAGGCACCTCTAATTATTGGACATGTGGAAATTTAGGTCCCACATAGCTGGCTCCCCCTTTTATCTTTTTGGCAGTTATATTTTTCCCATTTCACCTATCATTTTCTTAACTTTTTACCCATTTTACTGAATGCAAAATCAAAAATCAGTCATTTTCATTTCTCTCTCTTCTTATTATTTTTTTTCCAGCGTTCTCTCTCTTCCTCACTTTTGAGTTATGTTCTCCTTATCTTCTTAAAAAATATCAAAAAAGGGATCGAATAAGGGATGTTTTTGGGGTTGTTATTCCCATGAATTTTGGGAGAAAATGATTTGTTCAATATTTTTGTAGAAGAATCACTTATTTCTTAAATTTCATGCTTTTCATTTTTGTGTACTACGATTATATGATCAATAGTTTGGTCGAAGTTGATTAATCTAGGCATCTCACTAGTGTGCAGTGATACAAAGAGCCTGTTTGGCCAAACTTTTGGGAGGTCAAAAGTATTTTTTTCAAAAATTTGAGCTGTTTGGCCAATACAAAGAAGTATTATATGCTATTAGTTCCCGAATCTTTAAAACAGTTATCCTATCTTATTTGGGAAAATGATCTACAAATAGGTAATAAATTTACAATTATATTTCATAATCTATCTATATATTATCAAAAGAAGAAAAAAATGCATCCATATTAAGTCAAGTGGCAGTTCACAATACGTCACTTGGCATATTGGGACAAAATTAGTATGGTTATGTAATAATTATTTTTTTAAAATTATATTTTTTTTAAAATAAATAAATTATACATTATGTGTTGTTAATAATTAGTTACTCTTTTTGAATTAGAATTTAAACATACTTAACTATTTCTTTTACGATTTTTTATATATTTAAAATTATTTCTATTTTACGTTCAATGCCATCTTTCAAGTTTGACATTGATGAAATTGTTGAAAAATATTATCATGTGTGAGTGACTTTACTTATTATTTTATGATGGATTATCAATATATATTAATTAATGGATAGATTTCTAATTTATACTGAATGATGTTAATGTAATTATTCATATCATCATATAACAATAAGTAATTATACTACATAATATCATATGCTTTGGTATAACTATACTATATATGTAAAATTATCTTAAATATTTAATATGTTTGTTTACTTTATGCTTTATATTTTAATCAAATAAAATAAAAAAATAATAAAAGTCTCTTACGATAAATATTTAAGTTTATTTTTCTACTTAATAAAGTTATAAGACCTTCGTACTATCTTTTTAAGTAATTTAACACTCAAAAGCACTTTTTAGAAAGATTGGCCAAACACAATTTATTTACCAAATGTTGTAAAAAGTATTTCTTAAATGAATTGGCCAAACACAAACAGTTTTTTTTCAAAAGTACTTTTAAAAAAAATACTTCTGAAAAAAGGTATTTTTTAAAATAAGCAGATTTTAGCAGCTTGACCAAATGGGCTCAAACTCAATTGTACATTTATCTTTTTATTTTGTTATAACTACTTGGGTACATATTTGAATATATTTTAGGTTTGAAGACATTTTCTATTGTGGTGATCTGGTATTTAGGTTTGAATTTTTATGTATACTTTATTTTTTCCATGGTTTAAAATTATAGAGTATTTTCTTAGTGATGCAATGCTAAGTTTATACCATAGTATTTTATTGTTTGAATTGAAGTGTTAATTAAAGTATTTGATATCCTATTCTTTGAGACTGCATTGGAAAAAAGAAGAGGAACGAAAGAGAAATGACATATTTTTATCCTCTAATTGTCATATTTGACTGAAAAAAATTGAAGACGATGCAATTTAGTAAGAGGGGACAGAAGAAAAGTAAATTTGCTGAGAGAAAGAGTGCATAAGCAGTGTTTCTCCGTAAGTCAAATTCAACAGGTTTATTCCTTCCTCCGTGTAAAAACTTTATTATTTTGAACTCATTAGTTTTCTCTCTTTTTATATTTCACTGTTAGTTTGTAAATATGTATGTAATTAGTTTTTTAAGTTCAATGCTTCTCTTGCTCTCTTTCAAAATATTATATGGGATTATATGTATGCATTCTTTTATATGTATTGATTAGATTTATATATAATTTTATTTATTTATTTGGGATTTATAGTTTCATTAGATAATATGGGATTTCACTTATATATAATTATTTGGAATTTATATGTAATTTCACTTATATAATTTTACTTTATTTGGGACTTCTATATAATTTCATTAGATAATATGGGGTTTATATATATATATATATATATATATATATATATATATATATCACTTATTTATAGTTTTTTCTTCAAAATTTTATGCAATTTTACCTATTTAATAATATTTTTTATAATTATATTATTTTATAAAATATTAAAAATTAAATACCCATGGGGCTTATGCCCCGTGCCTCGGGGCTTACGCTCCGCTGAGGCATATGCAAAATGTCTTGCCTTACACCCGCGCCTTTTAAAACACTATGCATAAGTATCATGGGACCCACCTTTCCACTTATCCAACAAATAATGGTACCTCATACAAGTTTTGTTGGTTGAGTCTCACTCAAAATAAAATTTCTCATTATATATGGATTTTGCCGAAAAGATACCATTATGTGACAATGAACCCTCTTAGTACAAGGTGCGTCCGCCCCTATTAATTCCTATTGTTCGCTCTACTAAAAGGAAAACCCTAGCCCCTATTTCCGATTTTCTCTCCGATGGAGATGTCGTGGGCAGATGTAGCCAGGGATAAAGCCGACCGGTAAACAGAAATTCTCCTTTTTCTTTATCTTCTCTGTATTTTTTAGCATAGTTTTCTTTTTCTTACAAGTATAAAGTGATGCTCTCCTTTTTCAAAGAAATGGCACACATGCTGATGTTCAACCTAACAAACAATAATTACCATGGTGAAGTAATGAGTATTAGTCATTGTTTTGTGGATATAATGAGCACAAATGAGTACATGCTGATTTTGTTAAAAAAAAAAGAAATTGACGGACTTTGATTGTCTGAAATTTGTAGATCCATAGAAAATGGCCTAGTGACCTATATTCATTGCTTTGTTATCACTTTCTTGTTCATTTTTTTATATTTAGGTCACGCAACACGAATTTTAATTATATCCACTTTTTTGTATGTATTAGTACATAGGTAGTAAGCACTTCTTATAAATAAGAAAATTACAAAAAATTAACGTTATGCTAGGCTGGGGCCTGTGTAGCATGGACACTTCCTCACTATCCTTTTCATAAATGACAAACATTCTGGACTTGTTACCACGGCTTTTAATTTGGTTAAGTTTAGTAAATAATGAATGAACTATAAAACAGAAAAACATACCTGTCTGGAGTACAAGGCAAGTCATTTTCAGATGAATGAATATTGATAAGTTACAACGAAAACGTTTGAGTCGTCCACACAGTATAACTTCAAGTTTTCATATGAACCAAACTTATTGTTACATCAAATGAATGAAGGAATTATTTGCAAACTATAAACAAATACTCTATTGTATCGGAATCTCTTAGGTATGAAACATACTGTAAGAAACTTGTCTCCATTTTGACGTACACAAAGCTAAAAGACAATCTTCACTTGGGATTCATTCAAAGCGCCTGCAGTTTGGCAGCTATATCATCATAATCAGGCAGCTTTGGATGTAAATGACTAGCTTTATTCATACTATCCTCTCTGGAAAATTTGTTCCCACTTTGGATGTTGCTCCGAACTCTACCTTTTGTCTGATGGGGCTTCATGCATCTCACCACTGTAAAATTTCCTGGTCAGTTTCTGCGGTACTTGTGTATCAGCAACATCAGCAACATAAGAATTCATGACAGGTTTCTGGGGTTCCTGTACTTTAGCACTGAATGAGTTCCTGCTGGATTTTCTGTCTGAACCCGAGTCGGAATTAACAGCTGCCTCATAGCTCATTTTAAACTTAGAGGAAAAGTTTGTATCTAAGCTGGAGGAAGAGGCTTTAGTCCTACGAGAGAATCCACTACCCAATTGACTTCTACCAGCAAGAGATTGCTCTTTAGGACCAACCTCGGAACCACTGCTATCAGAATCAAAATATGTAGTTGAACCTCGTAAGACCGCATGTTTTGTATTAACTTTTCTTCCTGTTTTTTGCCTGTAGCTTGAAGTCTCTTGTGAAAAATCCTCATAAGAACTGTCAGTATCTGAATCAGAACGGGTGCCTTCCAATCTTGAGCTTGACTTCTCGTCTCCTTTCATCCTCACTCCTAAACCAACGGAACTCTTAGGGGGGCAACAGCTTGTGACCTCAACTCGGGACTTTCGTGAGGTTTCTCTACTGAAGATGAAGCATTATTTAACTGGCTCCTTATGTAAGGTGGAGGGATATGACCTTTGTACTTAAGGCCACCTGTTAACTTCCCAAATGTCAATTCCTTTTCGAAACCAGAAATTGAAGAAGCTAAAATACCATCATCTGTCTGTGTCCCGGGCAAAGCTGGGGCACTGCCGTCGTCCTTTCTATTGTAATTTTGTTCTGTCATAATTAGATTTCTGGGGTAAATACGGATCAATTGGTTTTGTGGCTTTACAAATTTGTTTTTAGTTTTATTAAATCAAGTTTCCTGCATTATAAGCTCCTGTATATCCTGTGGCACCCCACCAAAATAAATGGAGCTCTTTGATGTATTTGCTGTTAGTCCAGATGCCCTTGAAAATTCCATGAAACAATTGTACACCATTTGAATAGAAATAATGTCACTTCTGCTGAATAGCAATAGGTCATCTGCAAACCCCAACTGGATGATATTTAGTTTGTCACACCTTGGATGGAAATTAAAATCTGGCTCATTCCTCAATGTTTTGAAGCTTCTTGTAAGATACTCCATTCCCAGTACAAATAAGAATGGTGATAATGGATCTCCCTGCCTTAATCCTCTTCTAGCTTGAAATGACTCCATTGGTTTCCCATTGATGAGGATGGAGTATGAGACTGTTCTTAAGCATACCATAATCCACTTCACAAACTTCTCTGGTATTCCTAGTTGATTCAGTACTTGCTCTAGGAAATCCCATTCTATTGAGTCATATGCCTTTTGCAGGTCCAGTTTTATCATACTTCTAGGAGATATGCCTTTTCTTCCATACCCTTTTACCAACTCATGACTTAGGATTATATTGTCAGTTATTACCCTTCCAGGTACAAAACCAGACTGCTTTTGTCAACTAGATGATCCATCACTCCTTGTAATCTGTTGGTCAATATTTTTGATATGATCTTGTATAAGACTGTGCAGCAAGATATGGGCCTGAAATCTTTGACAGTTGTAACATTGATAGGTCTATACATTTCTGCTGTGTTGAAGAAGTGGAGCACTGCTTCAGAAACTTCATCCCCTATAATTCCCCATGTCTTCTTAAAGAACTTAGAGTTGAATCCATCACATCCTGGTGCCTTTAATTCATCTATTCCTTTCAAAGCAAGCTGGATTTCTTCTATAGTGACATCTTCAATTAGCTTTAACTGTTGTCTTCTATCTAGCATATTTCCTTCTTTCATGATACTTGGCTGAATGGCTGGTATACTATCAGCTGCTGCTCCCAGTAGCCCTTTGTAGAATCCTACTATTTCTTTTTCAATTGTTTCCCTTGTCTGAATAATTTCTCCAGCAGCATTTTTCAAGGTTCTGATCTTGTTTTTGTTCATTCTATTCTTGGTACTAGCAAAGAAGAAGGCTGTGTTTTGATCTCCTAGTTTCAGCCACTGATTTCTTGACTTCTGCTTGTATATGCTTTCCTGAATATTTATCCATTTTTCTAATTGCTGCTTTAGCTCTTTTTCTTCTTCCACCTTCTGTGCTGTTGCATTTGTTGTTCCCATTTGGCTTTGTAGCTCCTGAAGCTTATGTCTTGTATTTATTACCTTCCTATCAATTGCATTGAATTCCTTTGTGTTCAAACTCTTCTCACTCTTTGCAGTTATAGACCGATTCCCCGGGATCCGGGTACTGATTTTGGAAGTTATGAGTTCAAAATCGGCATGGAGGAGATTGCCGACAACTGTAGTAATGCCATGGTGAAATTTGATAAAAATTCGCATGTATGGATAACAGCTAGTGCCATAAAGTATAAAACATTTAAAGCGGCGGCCAATATGTTTGATACGCATCGCACTATTGTGAGGCACGGGGGTGTTCGTGTTGCACATCCTATTGGTTATACCGAGTTCGAGAGTCAAGGGATTTTGTTTGTGCAGAGTTTGAACACATTGACAAATGTTTTTAGCAAGAGTGATCCTCTTTGGAATGATCAGAAAGGCAAACGTGTGCACTTTGAGGAAAAGTACACGAACAAGTTTGGGTAAGCACATTCTGATCCTGTACAGCTCACACGTTTGTTTTATCTTGATAGTTATGTAATAATTCATTGATGTTTTGAATTATGTAGGCAAATTCTGCAAGGATTGAAGTCTATACATAAGGATAATACATACCATGGACGACTTTCAAAAGGGTATTTGTATGGAGAGGACGGGAATATACTTCTTTATAATCTAGAAGAGCAGGAAGTGCGTATGTATCTCTAATTTACTTAATTTAGAATGAACATTTCAATGTTTTCATGTATGCAATTTTTTAATAAGTTTTTACTTAAATTTTTTGCAGTCAGGCCAGAAAATTATATAGATGATTACAAGGGTTTTTGCTCCTTGATTAAAGGTGTTATCGATTCAAATTTGTATCCACGAAACCTGCCTCCTCACGTTGTACTGTTTTTCAGTATAGTGAACCGGAAATGGCCATTACACCCATTTCACCCCTTTTTTGGAGCAATGCCAAAAAGGGTGCTTTCATCGATTCGTTGGCTTTGGTGATGCAACAAGATAAGCATTTGGTTGAGAGTGATTTCAATTTGCACAATTATTTTGGTCGATGGAATGCTACTTTTGATGGAAAGCCCAGATTTCATGAGTGCTTTAGCTATGAGAACAGACACCTTGATCCAATGAACTGGTACAGAACCTCTAGTGGCGTTATTATATTTTGAAGAAACTTTAGAGCTTATTACGGTTTTGCCAGTGATGTTACTTTGGAACTGGAGACTCAGTTCCCTTATATTGTTGCTGGTACATATTACGCGTTGGTAAAGGGAGAAGGAGGGTTCAAGGATATGAATTTGAAGTTTGGTCCAGTTCATCCAGTTGAGGACAAAGATATGGGTTAGTATGTGATTTTAAACTTACTTTTTAATTTTTGGGTATTAATTTTGTATGGCTCTCTAAACTTGCCATTTTATTTGCAGGGTCATGACATTTCTTAACAAGACATTGGTAGGTTTTACTTTTACATATGCGATCTTTTAATTCTCCCCACCACATTATGCTCACACTAATTGATTTTCTTGCAACAGGCTTATATTGTGTAGATAGGAGCTGCATTCGGGAAATATCATCTCATATTCTAAATCTTTTAGATTACTTGTAAGTTGTTTATCGTGAAGCTTGGGTATATGATGATTAATAATGGTATAATTATGAGAGCCAAAATCATACACGTGTTGGGAGTTGGGACTGCGGTGGTAAAAAAAAAGTTTAGAGGGTGGGTCGGTGCCTACAAAGAAAATAGTGGTATTGAAATCTCATCTAAATGTTATTATTGTTTGCGGCAATATATAAAGCTAATTAAAACCTCATCCTTCGTTCATTCGAAAAATATTTGGGTGGGGCGGCTCGTGAAATAGTAAACAAGGAAAAGATAGAAAGCGGAAGATTTTTGATGAGTAGAATTTTACTTAAATGTTGTTTTGTCTTGAGACGAGAAGAAAGTTTTTTACCTTTTAAAATATTTACTAAGATTTTATGACACATTCGTTCATTCTTTCGTTATAATTTTAATTATAACATACATTTTGCAAATTTTAGCCCTCAACTTGAGAATTCATTCAGGTGTCTGATTCACTGGGGTTAATGTCAAAATTAAATAACTAGCAATAATTGTTAGGTGTTTTGGGATTAATACTGCAAAAGCTAGCTATAGCTTTCTTTATTCTCTAGCTAAACAAAGTATCCGAAGTACTTCGAGGTATAATGTTCAACAGTCCACTGCCAACGTTGGAAAAAGAAAAAACAATGATCTAGCAAATAATTTTCAAGGTAAAATCTCGACATAGCTAGGATATTTTCTATGGAAAATATTTAACCTTATACGTAGCGATGTTAACTTTAACTTTTGCCGTGTTATGAAATATTTAGTAATTGATCGATCAATTATTTGGTATATAAAATAGAGCATTTTATTTTAATTATCTATCAGTAAACTCTATCATTTTAGAAAGAATAGTATAGCATTATTCCGGGAACAAATATATTTTACTCCTTTTATTTACTCAATTTAAAAAGAAAGTAAAGGTTTTGTGATAACTACTAGTTAGGAGTGTACATAAGTCGGATTGGTTCGGATTTTACAATTACTAAGCCAAACCAATTGTGTCGGATTATTAAATCTAAAGACCAAACCAAATCAATAAAACCGGGTTTTTCAATCTCGGTTTTTCTCGGGTTTTCGAATTTTTCGGGTTTTTTCGGATTTTTTTCCGGTAAGATCTTCGTAGAACAAAATATATAACTTGTGCTCAAAATATTTCTTTAATCCTAGTAAGATAAAACTATATAAAGTATTTTCTAAGAAAATAATACAAAATATGAGATGTGTCATGGCATTATCCTAGAATATTCAACAATAAAGACAATAAAATTATGTAATATAAATATTGCTAATTAAAAAGCCATAATAAAAATAATTATAATTTAAAAGTACTAAGTCATGCTACAATAATTAGACTAATAAGGGAGTATTATTTACATGACTAAACGCTAAAGAAACAATAAAAATAGATTATGCATTTTTATCGAAATTATTGCAAAACAAAAAATAGATATTCAATACATTTTCGTTCGTAGTATTAAATTGAATGTCTTTTGTAAGCATTAGTATTGATTTGATTTTGGTTTGGACTTTTGTTAGCATTATTTAATTTACTAATATTAATGGCTATAAAACTTATTGGAACATTCAAAAATTCTAAGTCCAACCTTGAAATAATACCTTTAAAGATAAAATTATGATTTTTTTTAAGAAATATTTAGAAATTACATCACAATAAGTATATTTTAGTATTAAATATATCAAAAATTTCTATATATGTAATGTCGGGTTCAGTGGCGGACCCAGAATTTTTATCAAGCGGGTTCAAAAAAAAAAATTAAAACTCATATGTGACTAGCTAGTTTCGAACTCAGGACCATGTGAAAAACTTGAACCCTCTTTACCAAAAGGTTAGACATTTTACTTGTTTGAAGTGAGTTCAAAATTATATTTATACCTTTTACTTGTTTGAAAACAGCAAAAATATACCTATATATACAATGTTATTTTTCGATGAAGCAGGTTCATATGAACCCACTTGATTCCACGTGGGTCCGCCCTTGGTCGGGTTGGTTTGGTTTCGGTTTGACTTTCTTTAGTTAAAACCAAACCAAACCAATTATGGTCGAGATTTTTTTTTCAACACCAAACCAAATCAAACCAACTCATAGTCAGGTTTTTTTTGTCGGTTTGACTCGAATTAATACCTTTAAAGATAAAATTATGAGTTGGTGCGGTTTATCGGTTTTTTTTGTACATCCCTACTACTAGTAGTACCAATAATGAGAACACATGAACTTTTACTATAGCTGCACCATTAACGTTATACCTTGTGCGGTACTACTAGTACCCATACTCTAGTCGATCGAGAGCTCTTGGGAGGAAAAGAGTTAATTTATTGGTAATTTTTAACTAAAAAAAAATAGTTAGAACAGTAAAAGTACTTTAAAAAAAACAAAGTGAACTCCCAACATGTTGTGTCGTAAAGAAGAAGAAGAGGAAACTAAGTCATAATTCATATTCATGAACATTCCTAGTTTGATTACGTTTTTTGCCTTTCTATTTGAGTCCGGTTTGTATTTTTTTCCCTGTCGTCAACTGAGCCGAATTTGATGACCAGTGACTTCTAGAATTTTGCTACAGAATGTCCATTGTTTTCACATTTGTACTTCTTTAATTTATACTGATATGTTATCTGGAGCTAGAGTATTCAGTACGGATTCGGTCGAATCCAGTACTTTAAGTCTTAAAATTTTATTTAAAATTTATAAATTATTAATTTGAAATGATTAGAATTTTGAATTCATAAACTTCAAAATCTAACTCTTGTACAGGAGCCTTGAAGCAATGGTAAAGTTGTCTTCGTGTGACCTATAAGTCACGAGTTCAATCCGTGGAAGCAGACACCAATACTTACATTAGGGTGTTGTCTACATCACACTCCTTAAAGTGCGACTCTTCCTTGGATCCTAAATGAATGTCGGATACTTTATGCACCAACTGACTATCATTGTACTTGGATAAAGAACTAATGAATATGTATCCAAGTAGAAATAGGCAAGTGAAAGCTAACTTCTCACTGCTTTTGCACTTAATAGATATATGTTCACTATTTTTCAAACAAAGATTGGGGAATGATTAACATTCATGCACGTTTCCATGCAAAAATGATCTTTTCATTTTTCAAACTTTGGAAATGTCAAAAGTCCAGTTCGGAACTAGCTTCTCAACAAAGGGAACTATATGCTTTTTCTTTCTTGTTTTTCTCTATATTTTATAAAAGAAAAAGTACTGGGCGTGCGTTATATTATATTCTTTGTTTATCATTTTGACAAAAGCAGCTGATAGATCATAGGTGAAGAAACTTGTCTTAAATTTTTCTATTAGATTTAACTTTTATACACTAACAGTTTCAAGAAAATTTTACACTATCAGATTATTTCAAAACTGATACAGGTATTGTGTCTATAGGGCTTAGAGTTAGAGAAATATGAAATATGTAATTTGTTGTAACATGTTAAATTATACTAATCGTTCTTTTTAAAAAAAAATAAAAATTGATGTATATAAATTAAATTGTATTATTATTATTTATTTTTGGGTCCCGGGCCTATGCGCCGTTTAAGGCTGATTTTTTTAAGGGATTTTTACATACATATACCATATACCAAACCTTATTATCTTCATTGTTTAAGGATTGTGTTAATTACATTTAAGCATACCAAATTACAATTTATATACCATAATTCAAATTAAGGGTATAATTATTCTTCCATTTATTGTAGGCGTGATTTTAGGACCGTATTTCACTTTATTTCGTTTACCCGCCTCTCTCTCCTCCCCCCCTACGATTTACCTTCAGTTAATTCTCATCCCCCCACGATTTACTTTCAGTTNGCCCACCCCCCACGATTTACCTTCAGTTAATTCCCCCTCCCACGATTTTCATTCAGTTTTTCCCCCATTCTCGTACAATCTCTTCTCACCCACAATTACAATCAATTTCTTCTCCACTTAATTACCTTCAGTTGTATCCCCCACGATTTACATTCACTTCCATCTTTGTCTTCAACTCCTAAATCATGAAAAAAACCAACACTCCCAAAAAAAATCATCAAAAGTTATATTAGCTGATCTTCCATCATTTGATTTGGGTGTTTTAACACCAAAATCAACACCCAAAAACCCACAATCGACGCATGCAAGTGAACAAACTACTGGTATTTCATCTCCCAGACAAATCCGCGCGAAAATGAGAAGCAAGCATTTGCATGATGTTGATGCTGGTGGAGTTGATAAAGTAGTCGAGAAACAACTCAAACGCAAGGGGAAAGAGTTGAGTGTAGGGCTGTGCATTTGGATCGGATATCCGAAATCCGATCCGATCCACTCTATTTCGGATTTTCGGATTTCAAATTTCGGATTTTCGGATTGGATACAGATTGTGTTTTATGATATTTCGGATTTTCGGATTGGATTCGGATTGGTATGATTTTAATCTGATCCGATCCGATATCCGAAATTATATGTACCTATATAAATACACACTAAAATTTTAGGGTTATGCTTATTCATTTTTCACACACCCCCTCACTCACTTAGATTTTTCCGCCTCTCTTGCACCTCTCTTCTCTTCAGTGAAGACTAAAAGAGTCTCAATGACTCAAACTTCCGATTTTACTTTGATTTTATGTCTCTTTCTTCCGCCTCTCTTCTCTTCTCTTCTGTCTTTTATGTCTATTTCATGTTCTATTCTTCAACTTTTGATTTTATTTTGATTTTTTTGTTTGTTTTGGTATATGGAAGATGAGATAGAGACACCGAATGAACTTTAAATTGTTGAAAATTTTTGTGACAATCCGATCCGACAATCCGAAAAATTATCCGATCCAAAGTTTAAAATCCGATCCAATCCAATGTTAATTCGGATTGGATTCGGATTGCCCTTTTCAGAATCCGAAATCCGAAATCTGAATCCGAAATAGGCTAAATCCGATCCAATCCGATCCGTGCACAGCCCTAGTTGAGTGTAGATGACGATTTTGTAGATGATTTCCCCAAAGTTCAATCTGTGAAAAAAAACCAAGGTTTCTCCTTCTTCATCTAAACCAAAAAAGAAGAAACCCTCAAAAAAAGTACCAAAATTGGTTCACCAAAATATTTCAGTAAAGGTAAACACTATTTATTTTTCCTCACTGTTTTGTAGTTTGATTTTTGTTGTAAAAATATGTTGTTCAAGTGTTAATTTAGTGTTCAAGTGTTTTTTGG